TGAAGGGAGGGGAGGAAGTCGGGATGGGGAGGAAATCGGGATGGGGAAGATGGTCGGAGGGTCGGAATGGGGAGGGGGGAGTCAGGTGGGGGGTGAGCGACATCGGGAAGGGAGGGAGGGGAGTAAAGAGGGGAGGAGCTTCTTAGTTTTCCTTCTTTTTTTTCTTTTCTTTTTTTTTGGCAGCGCATGCCGCTGCACCACGTGGTGCGGACCCGACCGCCGGAACGTTCTGTTGGGATAGGGGGAGGGGGGGATGAGGTCGAGATGGAAGAAAGGAAGTCCAGATAGGGAGGGGAGGAAGTCGGGATGGGGAGATGGTCGGAGGGTCGGGATGGGAAGGGGGGAATTGGGATGGTGAAGGGAGGGGAGGAAGCCGGGACGGGGAGATGGTCGGAGTGTCGGGATGGGGAGGGGGGAAATCGGGATGGTGAGGGAAGGGGCGAGGCGACCGGTGGAGGATCGGGATGGGGAGGGGGGAATCGGGTCGGGGGTGAGCGACGTTGGGAAGGGAGGGAGGCGAGTGAAGAGGGGAGGGACTTCTTAGTTTTCCTTTTTTTTTTTTTTTTTTTTTTTTTTTTGGCAGCGCACGCCACTGCACCACGTGGTGCGGACGTCGGATGGAGGGGAGTCTCACCCTCTCCGCCCTTTTCGCCGCGGGCCGAGCCGCGGCGGGTCCACTTGTTACATTGAACTGATTATTAAACCACCAGTGCGTTTCCCACCTAATGAAACAAATATGCGGCTTGCATGCAGCCACAACTTTGGGGAAGTACCGGGGTACCGTTTTGCTGGATATCCATCCAGGCAAAATGGCCTCGCATTCGACCTATTTTGCCTGGATGGATATCCAGCAAAACTGCACCCCGGTACTTTTCGGGAGTCACGGCTGTATGCATGCCCAAATAAAAAGGCCTCACATTCGATCCGTATTTCCTGGATGGATATCCAGTAAAATGGTGCCCTGGTACTTTTCGGGAGTCGTGACTGCATGCACGCCCGACTCTGAAAAAATGGTTGGGAAACGTACTGGTGGTTTAAGAGGAGGGGAAGTGAGGAGAAGAAGGAAAGATGAGGAGGAAGAAGGGGGAAATATCGGTGTAAATTTTATAATTCTTCTTCATCTTTAATTTTGTTTCTTCTAATTTAAATCTTTATCTGTCTTTACCTCTTCTTTTGAATTTCAGCACGTCTTGCATTTCACGCAAGTTGAGTTTTGCATTATGAATGAGGTAGGATCATAACAATTTGTATCAGAACTATACCTCACTTGCTGGATAGGTGTGTCAGCCACCCTAACCGTAATTCCGAGATGGTTAGGGCAACTTAATCTGAGATTAGGGAATGGCTAAGATGGATTAGGGTAGTGGGTTGCCTTGCTACTACCCCAACCCTAATCTAGAGAGGAGTCGGGAAGTTTATACCTCGGACGAGGGCTAGAAAGGAGTTATTGGGGTGGTGAGTGACTCCCATACTGCTCTACCCTAATTCCGAAGAGGTGTTGGGATGTACTGTACCTCGGACTAGGTTTGGATTGAGGCTTACGGTTGGCAACAAGAGGAGAGAAGTGTGTTTTCGAAGTGAGGAAACGAGATTGAGAACGGTGTGAGGCACTAGTGCAAGAGGAGCTCTAAAAGTTCAATTGTGACCAAAGTATCTTCTTCTTCAGTTGGCAAGCACAAGAGAAGCACCAACTTGAAGGGCATTCCGACAACTCTATGGCCAGGGGAGGCAAGAGAGGAAGAGCCCTTGAAAAAGGACTTCCAACTAAACTTCAGGAACTGGTTCTCACTTCAACCAAGGACAACTCTCAGATCATCAAAATTCTTCGCTGACCCTTTTCCTCCCTTAGAACTAGCCTTAGTAAGTTTCCAATGTTTTGGCTGGGGGGTGGGGGGAACAATAAGAAAAACATTGAGAGAATGAAAGGGGAAGCTGGGATTTATAGTGTTCTTTCGATATATGCTCAATCAAGAGGGAGAAGGGAGGGACTAGATTATAGTAGTAGATACCTGGCGCCTGGCACAAGGTGAAGAGGTTCTTTCCTTTTTTCTAGAAATCTGCTCAGTCAATCCTCTAGATTCCAGAGTAATCAATGTTGGCAGGAGACTCTTTACCTGATTTCATATCTATATATGGGACGCTGGACCCGTTTTCAAGCAAGTGTTGCTCCCCACCAATAGATGGAGCCTCTCCCTAGGTGCTAAGAGTGTTTGCTCTTATCAGCACCGCTAGCACTAGAGG